AAGGGGCAATGTTTATGTTTTCTTGTATAAAATAGTTTCCCAAGAATTTGTCATGAAAGAGGAGTTAAAAAAAAATTAGATCCTGCAGGATGCCTCTGCTAATATTCATATACATACGTATGTGTGTCGCTAATGTAATACGTGTACGTGAACGTTCATGCAAATTATGTGAGTAAAATGACAAAGTTGTACTTCTTCGATTTAAAAAAAAAAAAACCGATTCGACATGAATTATGTGAAATACATCAAAAAAGCTTAAGGCTTTGAAAATTTGTATGCTTTAACTATTCGTATTTTAAGTAATTTTTTAAATCAAATTTTTTTGATCAAACTTTGTTTTTGAGTAACTCAAAATAATTCACTCCATTTGGAAAATTGACTAAGTAGAAAAGTTATAATTTTTAACTATTCGGATTTTAAGTAATTTTTTGTTTTAATCAAATTTTTGATCAAACATTTTCTTTTTGACTAACTGAAAATAATTCAGTCGATTTGGAAAATTGACTAAGTAGAAAAGCTATAATTTTATCAATGTTTCGAATGCTTTAACGGCCTTTGGCATACTTTCCGTGGTACTACTTTTTTTTTTTTTAACTAAATGCGCAACCATAAAATAGACACACTCAAATAAAACGTTTCACTTTTTATATACGAACATTAAACTTAGCGAACTTTTATATACAGAACATAGAATGCATAAATATCCACATACATACATACATACTGCAAACATAAGAAAAGTATGAACTTAAATGTGCCATAGAATAAAGTGCTTCAAACAGTTGCTAATTTAAATACATATTCATAAATAATTTAACGTTTCTTAATACACCTATACAAAGCTATGTATTTACATACAAACTTGCGAAAACATATGTACATGCGCATACATACAAATTTGCAATTCAATATTAACTACAAATAAATTTTTGTCTTGTCCTAGAAAGCATAAAAATATACTGAGAGACAGCTGAAAATGTTATGAAGTGTTTTCACACACGCCAAATTACGCAATTCGGACACTACATTTACTCAATTTCCACTGCAAACGCGATACGTATCTTAATTTGTGTAAAATTGAAAGTAGAATTTATGGCAGATAAACAGAACAAAAGAAATATGTAGTTTAGAACAAAAAAATATGTATATATTCGTTCAGAGTCGAAATTGCGTAATTTGAGGATAGTGGAAACACACTGTTAAAGTTTCGGAAAAGTTCAAGGAATTTATAGGCTTTTACAACATCCGCTAAAAAACGCTCGTTTGTACTGTACAAGACTGTCCAAAAGTTTTGCCTTCGTTGCTATTATTCCGGAAAAATGCTCAAAGCACACCATCTTCTACACAAGTGTACATACATACATGTGTCATTTTGTATTGTATGTTTGCCTATCACTTCTGCCAAGCGAGATCGCCAGCGATTTTTTTTTTTTGAAAATTGAGGCTTACTAATGCTCATGGAATTAATATTAAAACATAATGTGCACTTCTCATACAAAAAGCGAGCACGTGAAAAAAGTATCTAAAAATTCGTATACGAAAAGCACAAAAACTTAGTTACACTTGACTTTTTCCTATATACAGTAAGTGTGATCGAGGTGTAAAGTGGAGTATAGAACTTGCGCCTTTGGAAGCGTTTAAGTGTCAACCGAATACATACAAACTTACATACATACGCACAGTAGAACTTTAAATGTTGTACACATATTTAGTCTCTAAGCTGCTAATGAAAATTTGAAACAGGCTCACTCACAATCAGTGTTCAAAATAAATAAATTGTTCCTTTTGTGTGTGGTGTACATACTATTTAGATATTTAAATGTAGAAAGAAGTACATTAAGCGCAACAAAATGCCAACAACAAATAAAACTCACATCAAAAAGGCTTTAAAAGAAAATTACGCACGAAAATATGTAGTTGAAATTTGTTTGTAGTTAAAATCGTTGCATACTTTAGGGGTGTGAATAAAAAGCACATTCTTTTTTACTGCAGAAACCAAACACAAAAAAATACAAAATTTTGGAAAACTACTTTATTGCGCGTAAACAATGGATTGCAGAAGAAAATTTAATACACTTGCGGCGTTGCGACGCAAAAAAAAGCTGTTTTTTTTTTAAATAGTAGAATCATATCTCCACAATCAGAGAGTTACTCGGCCAAATCAGTGATTTATGGAAATTTTTGAAGCTCAAACAAAAAGTTTGCACGTGAGCATACAAAAATGGGGAATAAGCTTTTAAAAGTATGTAATACACAAAACATAAAATTTGAAAGATGCGCAATGCAAAGGTAAAAAAAAAA